GCATGTCCTTCCTGTTTCTTCTGCACTAGTGACTAGTGACTAGTGAATATGACCAGCCACGAAAGTGCCCTATGGATTTGTTCTTTATTTGGTAATCTGCCACACGTTTAGTCTTTTAGTATTTTGACTCAGGGCCTATCATGTGCTAATCAGTTAATTGATCCAGACTGTTCTGTTACAGCCAGAAGATACCTGAAATGCCTGCAGATGTTGTGGGTGCCCTTCTGTTCCTGGAGGACTATGTTCGGTACACAAAGCTCCCTAGGAGGGTAAGCCATGAATAGGACAGGACAATATTAATGCCAGTTTATGAACAGACAGTAATAGCAGCAGGCTTACACAGTGGATGCCTCTGAGCCCTTGCCATTGCCGTGTCCCCTGCTCTAGGTTCCTGCCTTCCCCACCAGGTGGGGAACTCCACCTCCCTCCTGTCACTCCATTCTGCCCTCCTCTTGAGGCAGCTCCCCTGGTTCAGGGCCAGTTCAGTGTGACAGACAGGCCAGGAGGGGATTCCTAAGTGGCCAAGGAAAGGAAGAATCTTGGGTAGTTTGTTTTTTCTCTCCACCATGACCTGGTGCCACAGTCCGGTGAAGTATGACCATGGTTAAAGTTGCACAGACCACTGCTTTTTTTTTTATTATTAGTTGTTGATGGACCTTTATTTATTTATATGCGGTGCTGAGGATTAACCCAGTGTGCCTCACACATCCTAGGCAAGCGCTCTACTACTGAGCCACAACCCCAGCCCCGGAGACCACTGCTTTTTACCTTCTAAGAAATTCCTTCTCACTCTTAAGTTGCACTTGGTTAAGTTTTAGCTCAAAGAAAGAAACTTGATACTAAAGACTTTCAACAGATACTGAAAAGTCAATTCCCATTTTTAAAAACTAGTAGGTTAGGAATTAAAGATAACAAAACACAGAGATATTTTTTAGTGAACTAGCAGAGCTACACTTAATAGTGAAACGATAGTGGCATTCTCACAAAAATCAGGTCTATAAGAGTGGCATGATGGTACTGGATCCTGCTGCTCCTGTTGTTGCACAGTTGCAAGGTAATAAAATACAGCGCATAGTGGAAGAAGGCAAAATTTGTACTCTTTTTTCAAGGATGTAATTGTCTTCCTAGCATCATGTGAAAAAACTTTTAAAAATGAGTTTAGGGAACAAGCTGGTTATAGAGTAAATGTATAAAATAAATAAACTGATAACCAACTTAACATATAATCTGAAAAAGGTCCCATTCACAAAAATGACCAAGAAATAATACAGTTGGGAAAACTTCTATAAGAAATATGAAAAGAGTATTTTAGGGGAAAACTATAAATTTTTGAAAGTCCATGCTTCTGAATTAGGAAATTCAAATATTATAGAGATATAAGTTATTTCTACTTTATAGATTTATTGTAACTAAAATCAAAATCCCAGATAATTTTTAACTTCAGTTTTTTTAATTACATCAGACTTGGGCTATAAGCAATTTTTTTTTAGAAAAAATATAAAACATTTTATGCTATATATTAAAACAAAAACTACAAAAAAATAAAAAAATACTGGTATAAAACTTAATAGGATCAGTGGGTAAAACTATGTGCCCTAGAAACAAATTCTTTTCATATAATTTTATATTGGGCAAAATACCTTCTCAGACTGGGGAGGAAAGGAATGTTAGGCAGGAGACCTCTCATTCATTATGAGGTTGAAAATAGCAGCTTAGTCCCTTCACTTCTCCCATGTTGTTAAAATTAATTATAGATAAGAATTAGGATGAAATAGGAAGCAAAGACATTAGAAAGTTTAGATGAATATGTCACTTATTACAACTTTCTAAGCCCAGTGCCAAAGGAAGAAACTATAAAGATTTAATCTTCAATAAATGCCAAAAATAAACAATTATCTATTAAATGTCTCTCAAAAAAAGGACAAATTAGAACTATTAACAAAAGACAGGTTTCCTTGATTTAGATGAATAGTGTGCTCTTCCAATCCATTAGGGGGGAAAAGTGGGCAAAGGATATTAACAGGCAGTTTTTAGGAAAAGAAATAGAAATGGGATAAACATTTGGAAACATGTTCAATCTTACTTATATCCAAGGGGCACAGACCAAAATAACAGCAAAATTACTATTTTAACCTGTCCAGTTGGTCAAAGTCAAGTACTGGACTCCCAGGGCTTGGAAGGGTTTGGAGAAATGGGACTCCTTGGTGATAGTAACTCAAGTGTGGGTGGCTTAGCCACCCAAGAGGGCACTTTAGCTCTATGTATTTTTTTTTTCAATTCTAGTAACGTATTTACTCTGATCTCAGCAATTCCACTGCTAGGAGTTTACCTACTGGATATAGGTGCAGAAGTTCACTATGATATGTGCAACGAATTCTGGAATTTTATGGAAAGTTTTGAATCTGTCCAGCTGTAACACCGAATAACTTACTCCTTTGTTTAATGTTGCAGGTTGCTGAAGCACACGTGCCTAACTTCATTTTTGATGAGTTCAGAACAGTCCTGTAAATTTTTTGTTCTTTTACTTCTTATGAAACGGTTGTCCTTAAATCTCCCTACCTTTGCTAAAATGAACTTGGGAATGCAAAGAAACTCAACAGCTCATATAACTGCAATTTTTTTCCCTCCATTGTGGGAAACATCAGACATTCTGAGGAAGATGTATCTCGCTAATAGTTAATATGATTAATATTGTTTAAATCATGGTATTATTATATGCAATTTAAATCATGTAGAAGCAGAACAAATTTTGTACTGCCTCTTATAAATGCTGAATGTAATTGTTACGTATAAATCCATTTAGTTTTATGTTCTAAAGAACTATTTGTGCAACTCTGGATTTTCAGTAAAATAGAATTCCCTTCGTGAGGGAACCTCACGAAGCCAGTTGTCCTTCTGCTTATGATCTAAAACCTGCTTGTTCAACCCTTGGGGAAAAAAAAAAAACTTCCTGGAAAGTAAAGATGGCTCTGGGTAGGGATGGTGCCCCACCCACCAGAGGCTTGTAGACACGTGGCCTCAGCAAGACGTTTCACATGTGTAGTGACTGCTCAATCCATGTCCCAGATGCTGTGGCGATTTCTGGTGTCCGAGGTTCACCATCCTCTTCCAGTCTGGTACCTCACGGTCCTAGCACCTCTTCTGGGGGATTCCTTAACTTCAGTAGCTCCTTCCGACCTCTTCCTTCCCCGCCAGAGTCCCCACAGATCTTGTCACTATTCATAAACTGTTTCCCATTTTTTAAAAAATGATTTTGTAAAAAGCATAACCATGATTTCTAACAACCTCAAAATCCGTATTCACTTCTACATGAAAACCACTCTGAGAAGGGAGCTGCCATTCTGCTGTGGCAACTTGGGACCTCAGCAACTTGGATGAGAGCAAGAAAAATGCTTTGCTCTGAACCTGAAGCCAGCCATGTTCTCTGGAGAAGAGAGGAACAAGCAAGGACAAAATGTCACGTTTGGTTCTTAAAGGTCCCCCAAAGGCTCATGTGATGAAGGCTTGGTCACCAGCCTGTGGCACTGTTGGGAGGTAGATCCTTCAGGAAGTGGGGCCTAAAAGGAAGTTAGGTTGAAGGGGTCCCTTGAAGAAGTTAGGGGATCCTAGCCCATCCTTTCTCCTGCTTCCCAACTGCCACATGAGGTAAACTGACTTCCTCCATCTGGTCATGCGCTCTCACCACAATGTACAGGCCCTGAGGTGGCTGCGCCAAACAACTGTGGAGTGAAACCTTTAAAACCGTAAGCCAAAATAAATCTTTCCTCCTTTTAGGTTAATTATCTCAGGTATTTTGTCACAGCAACAGAAAGCTGGAACATAAACAAAACCCAGATTCCCATAAGTGCTTGAGTAGTTTAACAAGCTGCTGAGGAGGAAGCACTAATGTGCCGTCAGGAGGCAACTTTTGAATCTGGTTCTGCCCCTGGGTAAACCTTGTTCCAAGCCAGCCTTCATCTGCAGATTGAGGGGTAGGCCATTTGAGGGGGGTTCCTTCAGTTTTCTGATTTTATAAGACATTTCTTTTGTCCAAAGACCTCAAATCCTAAGCTACTAAAGCGCAGGGCGGGGGTGGGGGGTGATTTTACAAGCTTTATTTCACTATCACAGTGGGAAGAATTTTAACAGGGCCCAGTAGAGAGGAAGGGAAGCCTCACTGTGTGCCCACGGACATGGCATCAAGGCTCAGGGATTTTTTGGATTTCTTTTTTTTTTTGGCGGTGGTGCTGGGGATCAAACCCAGGGCGTCAAGGGTGCAGGACAAGCACTCCACAATAAGCTCCACCCCCAGTCCAGGACAGCTTGTAAGGAGCTGGGAAGTCTCCTGCCCTGCAAGCCTGGTGCCTGGGAACAATCACATCCCAAAAATATCTTGCTGTTTCCATTTGTAATCAGCTAATGGTAAGTGCACGAAGTGAGAGGTTTAGTTCTCTGTGAAAAGAAAGCCAGCAGCCACTACAAAGGCCAGACCTAAGGGAGCTTTTAATCAGAAAACAGAGTGTGGGGCAAGGCAGAGAGGATCTCACCAAGCCAAGTGAGTGAGTCCAACATAAACTCTGCTAAAACAAGACAAGTGCTGTCTGAACCTGATTTTGCTAGTGATTTGGCCAATCAAGTATTTTCTCAAGTAAATGAAAAAAATTAAAAATGGGAAGAAAATGTTATTGTAAATTTTTACTAATTTTAAGGCATTGTTCCAGCTCAGACAGGCACTTACTTGTCCGTTCACTGCTTCCTGAACGCTGCCAGCCTGGCTTATTAGCGTGTTGCAGGGGGATTTATAAAGTCCTTGGCTGCTGTTCATGAAGAGGCGTGATATTTTCAGAGAACTCAGAACTGCCTCCCTGGATATCTGAGAGAAAAAAGGTCCAGAGACAAGGCAACTTCCCCAAGTCACAGTTACTGAGAGCACTAGGTTTTTCTCTCCACTTCCCATCCCTCTGGGCCCCTTCCATTGTCATGCAGCTATGTAAAGGACTCCAGGACAAGCAGCAAAGACACCAGGGTTCACTCTTCATTTTATTTGCATGTCCCAAGACTCATCCCCAATACTGAAATCAAAAGAAAAACTGAAGTTTTTCCATGTTAGTGCTAATTTATGGTAACAATCATATCTTTTAAATATCTAACTTATTTTACCCTTCATTTTAAATTGAAAATTAAGGCATATATTTACATGCTTATATACAAAAACATCACAAAGAAAGTAATCCCAGTCTTGGTCCAAGAGTGGCCACTTCAGAAGTGGTGGGCACACAGCCGTTTCCAGAATTTCTCACGGGACTTGAGTTCCACATGGTCCCCTCTGAGCTTAATGAACCATATACTTCATTTCTGAGTAAATTAGAGGAAATATCACAGAACACGCTTTGTACAAGACAGCACCAGTACTGAAAAGGGCTCGGGGTTTTGTGATCCACGGTTCCGATTTAAAGCAAAAATATGTGGCATAGATTGCAACAGCAAAGAAGTGTCCAATTAAAACCAGAGGGTTAGGAGACAACCTATAAGAGAAAAGTTAAAACCCAGAAATCAGAACGTATTCATAAAAGGTTCCAACTACATGTCATCATCTGTAACACTCAACACATTCCACATTTCAGAGGACTCCACCGGTTTGTCTATTACAGATCATAGCAAGCAAAAGTAATTTTTTATATCTACATTTCCCTTTCAGAGAAGCCAATAAACTCCACTCGGCCTCATTCAAGTCATATATTTTGAGCTGTTTTCTGTCACTAAACTTGAAGGCACAGTCTAACGTACTAGATGGCCTGGTCTGTTGGAGTCTAGGTTTTTCAAAAAAGAAAAAAAAAAAGTCAGTGCAGATATTCAGATTATAGATGAATGTAAAATGACAAAGAATTTCACTTTGCAGATTTTCAAAGAATAGTCCCACTTCTGTCTACATTGTTAGAACTAATAACAGCTTCATGAGTCAATGAAGCGCTTCAATTCAAATTTATCAATTACTCAGAGCTCCCTCAGATGAGATCACTGTGGACAGACCCACAGGTAAAGAAACAATTCCAAAATTTCAATTTTAATCAAGGGTTTTAGTCTCCCCCTACAGCCAGTTCTGGTCAGTGCTGTTTCCTGGAGGTAAAACTCTGCTAAGTGTGGCCTTTTTTCATGTCTTGAGGCCACCTTCTGATTGGAATACTTATGAGTGATAAAATGACAACACGTCTAAGGAAGAAAGACTTGCTTAAACTGAAAAGTCATGAGAAAATCCTCTGTGCCATCAAAACAACTTACACAGAAAGCAGCCCAACGGGACCTGCCACACATTCTCCACCAAGTTTGAAATAAAGAAAACAGGCTTTTCTTAGTTGATGCAGGTAATCTAAAATAAAATTTAAAAATTAGTTTCAGTCAAAATATTCACATATTTATATTAGGGTACTAGTGATACGGCAGAAAAAAATAATGAAGACAGAACAGATGCCAAACCTTACAGCTAATTTTTAAATATCTAGTCCTAGAATTTCAATTTAAGACTTCTTTTAAATTCCACAATCAACATTATATGGTAATATAAATATGAATGAACTTGTTACTGTCAGTAAATGATCATTAACATTTAGATCCAAGAAGTTAAGAGTTACTTAAAAGTTATTTATTTGATTTCATGATAATGCAAATAGTGTGCAAAGTCCTCAAAATTGTAGAAACCAAATTTCCAATTTCTGAGATGTGCAACCCAAATCTGTAACTAGGAAGTAAATTATCAAGTTAAAAAGAACAACTCTGAGCAGTAACTAATCATATTGCCTTATATATGTATAGTTTAATACTTTTAAATTCATTAAACCTCACAACATAGCACATAATTATTTTTCTAGCAGTTTAGATCACTGTCTTTTTGAGATATGCCACAAGTTTTCTTTACAACAAATTTTTTAATAAAAGATTGAATGGAAAAATAAATATTCTTTAAAAGGGAATGTAGTAGATAAAGAAACTTTTGTTCCAATACAGTTCTTTCCTCCTCCAATCTTTTATTAATTTCCTAACTTCTGTTTTCTTGGTGGATTTAGATTTGTAAGGTAAGAATTCAAGAGCTTAGAAAAGCTTAGAAAGAACAGCTAAGAAAAACTCAAAACTATTATTTTCATTTTACTTGCCCAACCAGTCACTTTAACTTCCATGAGAGTGAATGGTTTGGTAAATCACAATCAATGAGTTATTTTTTACTTTTAGGAAGAGTTGATGGTTGTAGAAGCTACAGAAAGCATTTATACTGTATCACCTTTTATAATCAACAAAGAACTTAGAGCTCAAAGCATTTGAGATTTTCTGATCAGGAATGTTCAACCTGTATATAGACTGTCCATTACCTCTCCACAAAATGGAAACAAAAACAGAAGCACAGAAATATTTCAAATAAGGAAAGGGTAGGGGCTGGGGCTGGGGCTGGGGCTCAGCGGTAGAACACTTGCCTAGCATGTGTGAGGCCCTGGGTTTCAATCAGCACCTCATAATTATAAATAAAATAATGGTATTGTGTCCAACTGTGTATTGTAATAGGGGAGAAACTACACTTGATTTGAAGCTCCTGTTCATTTTATAAAATATTACCTTAAAAAAAATTTAAACTAGCGTTCAGGAAGAAAAAGACCACATGAGAAAGACCTTGCATCACAATCTTATTTGAGGATATGTATGATCTAATCTGGACCAGAAAAATTCAAAAACAGTGCAGACATTGAGGTACTGCTATTAATGTTGTCTAAGGAAAGTCAACTGCCTTCCAAAGTGGTAAATACATCATGATTAGAAACTAAAAATCCTGCATAAGGATGAAGTTAAAAAGAACTATTAATTTGGGCAACATTTTTATGTCTGAATTAATTACTAACTTTCGTAATTAGTTTCCTTTCTATACAATTTAGTAATGTTTATTAACAGAAAATCTACACTTACCATCTGTGGAAGAAAATAATTCATAAAGAGCTTGAGCAAGGACATTCACAACAAAGGAATGAGACTTTCTTCTTGACCAATAGAATGATTTTTTGGCCTAAAAATTGAAAAGATCACTTATTATAGAGTAATGGTTAGTGGACATAAACTGACATCTATAATCACCTCAAACTGATATTTACCCTGATGACTATCTGTAAGTGATATTGCCTTGTGTTTTTCATTCCCCCCAACAAAAGAAAAAAAAAATCCAGAGCAATGGGCTCATTATATAATACTGAAGCTAAACTTAAAACCACTATGAGCAAAGTGGCCCATAGCAACCTGTTGTTACATAATATTAAAATCCAGAAACTTAAGAAATTCTGTAAGGTTTACAGGTTGCAATTCAGGTTTTTAAGCCTGGGCAAGAAGGCCTAAGAACCCTCAAAAAGCACAGACTCCCAGGCATAGATTTCCCCAGCAGATCCCTCTTGCTCTGAGCCCCTAGAAAAAAAAAAAATCAAACACGTTTTTGTCAAAGAATGATCTAAAATCGTGCCTGGAAAATAGCTGCATCATCATACAGGTCAGGAATGCCCTTCAGCAGTTTTCTCCACAGTTTTATATCTTTAAAGGCAACAGTCATGCCACCACCAGTAAGAGGGTGCCTCAAATTATATGCATCTCCCAAAAGAAGAACACCTGTAAGGAGAGACAACAAAGACCACTCATCCTGGAGCCACTCCATGCGTGAGACAAAACACAAAAGAAAAAAATGGTTACTCTGTTAACACACATTATTGATATGAACTAGCAAAGGCAGGAATGTGAAAAAAAAACAAGAGAATAAGCCATGACTAGAATTGTTTGAAGCAAAAGTTGATTTACTCAGTATTTACTGGGTGCTTAATATTGCCAGGCACTGGGGACACAGTGACAACAGGAGTATGGTCTCTGTCCTGAAACTCACTCACGAATCTTATTCTAGGTTCAACAAGTCAACATATTTATAAAACCTTTTTCAAAAGAAAATGTGAAAAAAATGAAAAGAATCTATGGGCATCCAGGCATAAAAGGCAAGTCTTCAGGCAAGGCACCGCTGAGGTTGCCAGCACATTCAAGGCTGGTGTCCCGTAGAGCCATGTCTACACAGGCCTACGGAAAAGAAAGCAGGCTGATACCCAGCACGCTGCAGTCCAAGTAGAAGACAACACAGGCCTCAAAGTCATCGGATGTTAATTAGGAGAATAAACTTTGGCTGAATCATCTGAAAACTAGCTCCCCACTCTGGAAATACACGCCCTTCAGTCCTGAGCAAGAGAAACTGAACAATTCTTGTGCCCCACAAAGCTTGGGCTTTACCTCTATTCTGATAATGAGGCATGGCTCCAGGAGTAGGCATTAGTGGGTGGGGTTGAGTCACAATCACCTGTTCCTTTGTAATACTACCCCTTGCCCTTTGTTTCTAAGAACCAGCATCCCCCAATAAAAGCCAGCTCCAGAACCCTGCCTTCTCTCATCAGCTTCTCCTGATTTTCTCCTGCCCCCCTGTGGAAGCCTGAGGCTGGGAGCCAGGGAAACCATCCTGAAGCTTATAAAAAAGTATTACATGTCTGCATAGTATTTTGTGTCACCCCAAATTCTGACAAGTGACTTTGGTTTAGTTGCCCGCGCTGCGTGGGGGCAGCACTCCCCTGAATCAAAACCACAGAAGCAAAAAGCCCACAAAAACTCCAAGTGCACTTCCTTATGAGCAGCAAGACTTGGGCTTTACCTTGCAAGACCCCTAATCCTGAGGACAAATGCTTACTCAATGACCCACAACATAGAGTGACTTTTAAACAAGGCACTACCTCAATTTTATTTAATAGGAAATAATAATAATGTTAAGGTGGTAGAATTATATATAATTCTTTTCTATAAAGTCATATTACATTTATACCTAATTTTTAACTAAAAGCAAATGAAACAAAAAACATTAGTTATTATTAATTGTAATAAACATATATTAACTTATAAAAAGGTGGCTTCTAAATGGTAATTCAAATATTTAATTAAATTAAATATTTAATTAGAAGGTATTCTAATACCTTCATTAAAAGCCACAATCCATGATCCAGTTTCTTTTCTGCCTTTTCTGTGGAACATCCCCAAACCCACCAAAGAGGATACACTGTTTACTTCAACTTGGCACTGGCTTCCTTCATCTTTCATTAGTTTATTCACTGGTTGATAGCTTGTTATGCATGTGTCTCTACAGCAGGCTGCAATCTTCGTGTTCAGGAGCACAGTGTACCAAGAGCTTGGAGGCAGCCTCTCCTCCAGACCTGTGTGCCCAGTGGAGTTCCCCACACATCCCCAAATGCCCTATAGATACTTCATATTCACCTCTCCCCACACTTCCCTAAACTTAACTCTTTCCTATTCCTATGTCAGCAGATGGCTAACTATCTAAGCTGAAACCTGGATTCTACCAACAGACCTCACTTTCTCTAATACAATATCCAACTTAATCACTGAGTTTCACAGTCTATATCCTAGACATCACCCAAACCCTCTGTCTACTTGCCTCTTCACAACCCTAGTCCCGGCTTTTTATCATCACTCACATGGAATAAGTAGCTTTACTAATGTTTTAGTCTGAACCGTCCTCCAAATTATCTTCCACAACGTCAGAGTAATATTTCTAAAATGAAAATCTAATCATACACCAACTTCAAAGCTTTCAATGAACATTAGTTTAGTAAGATTTAAAAATAAAGGATAAATATATAAAAATCAATTGCATTTGTGGGGAGCAGTGGCACATGCCTGGGTTTGTAACTTAGTAGCAGAGTGCTTGCCTTGCATGTGTGAGGCACTGGGTTCGATTCTCAACACCACATATAAATAAATACAATAAAAGTCCATCAACAACTAAAAAATTTTTTAAAAAATTAAGTTGAACCCCTTCCTCACACCGTACGTACACAAAATATAACTCAAAATAAATCAAAGACCTAAATGTAAAAACTGAAACTACAACCCTTAGCAGAAAGTATAAATGTATAATCTTTGTGACCTTGGATTGGGCAAAGTGTTCTTAAATATGACATCAAAAGCATAGGCAAGAAACAAGTCAATCTATAAAACCAACGGCTGGATGTTCTCTCTGACATACGGATGCTAACACACAATGGGATGGGGGGAGAATAGAAGTCCATTGGATTAGACAAAAGGAAATGAAGGGAAGGGAGAGGGGATGAGATTAGGAAAGACAGTAGAATGAATGTGACATAACTTTCCTATGTTCATATATGAATACACCACCAGTGTAACTCCACATCATGTTCAACCAAAAGAATGGGATCCTAATAAGTTATACTCCATGTATGTATAATATGTCAAAATACACTCACTCTACTGTCATGTATATCTAAAAAGAACAATTAAAGTTAAGATTTTTTGAAAAGTACAAGTGAAAGAAGGAGAAGTAACCCAAATTTCATGACAATTAAAAACTTATATAGGGGCTGGGGCTGGGATCAGTTGGTGGAGTATTCGCCTAGCACCTGCAGGGCGCTGGGTTCAAGCCTCAGCACCACATACAAATAAATTTTAAAAAACTTATATATTCCAACAGATACCATCAAGGAAAATGAAAACTCAATGAGAAAGATTTTGTAAATCACATATCTGAAAGGGATTTGCATCTAAAATATATAAAGAACTCTCAAAACTCAATTAAAATTTGCCCAATTAAAAAATTATAAAATCTGAATAGATATTTCTTTTAAAATATATATATATATTTTATTTTTAGTTATAGATGGACACAATACCTTTATTTTATTTTTGGTGTGGTGCTGGGGATTGAATCCAGTGCCTCACGCATGCTAGGCAAGCACTCTACCACTGAGCCACAACCCCAGCCCTAGATACTTCTTCAAAGAAGTTAAACTGACTATAACCAAATAAAAAATATTAAACTTAATTATCCATGAGAGAAATGCAAATCAAAAGCATGATGTATCACTTCATACCAGTATACTAGGGATGGCTAAGAGCAAAATTACAACAAATGCTGAGAATGTTAACTGGAAGCCTCATACATTGCTGATGGAAATGTATAATGGGACAGTTACCTTGGAAAATAACTTTATGACCCACAATAATGATCCTAGGTATATGCCCAAGAAAAAGGAAAACACATGTCCACACAAAAACTTGTACATGATGTTCACAGAAGCATAGTTTGTAATAACCCAAAAGTGGAGACAACCCAGTGCCTAACAACTGATGAGTGGATGAACAAAACGTGATATGTCCATACAGTGGTTGCTATTTGGCCATGAAAACAAATGTAGGATGACATGCCACACACAAATGAACCTAAAAAACAAAACCAACCAATCAAAAATCATTATGCTAAATGGAAAGTCAGTTACAAAGGACCACATATAGGAAATATATTTCCTTGCAATAAAAATACCTGTGAATATTAAGTGTACCTGTGGGTACACTTAAAAACCAATGAAGTGTATACTTTATAAATACGTGAGCTGAATGATTTGCAGATTATATCTCAACAAGGCAGGTACCAATTTTTTTTTTCAATGATTTCCACTGCCTGGGGTACTAAAACTAAATGATAAACATATATTCCACCCATCTGCCACATAACACCCACCCTAGGCTCCAGTCATAGGACCTGAGTTCTTAGAAAGTCCCACATCTCTCAGGAGTGGTGCTTTTGCAGATGTTCATCCCTCTACTTATAAGTCCCTCATCTTACTGTCCATCCAATGGTCTCCCTCTCATCCTCCAGATGCAACTTTAACTTTATTGCAGTGTCCTGCCTAACCAACCTCCCTGGCTTGCACAGCCCTTCACATGGCATCTGTGGTCCCATGAATGGGTTCTTATTATGAACTCTATCCACACATTGTGAAATCACCCTCTAAGTTCCTAACTAGAAATTGTCTTCTCCAGGGGAAGGATTGACTTTTAATAGCTGTATCCCCAAAGAGTGGCACAATGACTCAAATAGAACCAATATTAAGCATTAGCCAAATATATCATATTAATTTTGGTATTAGCAATTCTACATCCCATGTGTTATTCACAGTGCTACTACACACTTAATCACATAGGTCACTGGGAATACTGAATCCTTTATAAAGTAAGTCCAACAAAACAATACCTCGTTTGTTTACTGGTGAAGGAGGAAGAAAGCTTGCCGGCATGGCTCTCAAACGAGAATTCTGAATGCCTTCTAGGAATGGTTCTTTCAGGTGATCTACAATAAATGTATAGTTCATAACATTTCAATTTAAAACTATCCAGTATACAAACATCAAGTACAAACAAATACCTACTGTACATCTGTTATGGTTGTTACGTATATCCCTGTGATCAAGCAAGAAGTAGCTATTTATTAATTATATTATTAAGCACAAATCAAGAACTAATTAGCTGTTTTATTAATCAAATTATTCATTAAGCACTTAGTTATTCATGCTAAGGAATGACTAAGGTATCTATGAAAATACACATACAGCTGAAAGAACAAAGAAATTAGAGGAAGTCTGAGACAAAAATCAGATGAGACAGGGAAAAAGCCATGCACCTCTCTTTCAAATGTTAACTGACAAATTTAATTTATTGCAATCAACATATTCTGATAATATTAGATAAAATACTACACCAATTCATAAATAACATACTAGAAAAAGAATCAAATTGAGAGGCACAGGCCAGCTCTACCTGTCTGAGCTTCAGTTTCTTTATCTATATAATGAAATGATTGGATTAGCTCTTCTCTCAGATACTTTTGAAGTTTTGTGCTTCTACTTGGATGGAAAGTGAACTGTCCCACAGTCCCCAGTACGAGAATGAAGGAACAGAAAGCCTATATTAAAACTGTCACACTCACACAAGGAGTAGAACCTCAGTATTCTAGTCAGTATTAATATAAATCCACAAATAGTTCCTGTCAATGATTTCAGGGCAGCCTGTTCCGTTTAACCTCTAGTTTGCAGAAAACAAACAAACAAAAAACACCAAATCTACAATAAAAGAAATTCAATGTTAAAAATGTCAGGTAATGGACAATTCTTTTTCTAAATATATATACCTAATTTTCCCATCTGAAAGCTTCAAAAGTGGATTAACTGAGTGAAAATTTATCCAATGTTTCTATATACATACATTCAAATAAAATGTCCTAAAAATCTACATTTGACTACTTTATTTCTATTAATATCTTGTTAGCTAAACAGAATGGTTTCACCTAGTTTAAAAAATAACCAACAAAAGCAGAATTTTTGTTTAAAGGTACTCATACCAAAGATAGTTTCCTATTACTCTAAACGTATCATGATTAACAAGCAGAGTTTTCCTTCAACGTTTTTGTCAAAAAATTTTCTTTCTTTCCCATGCTGGGGTTTAAACCATAACCAGGACCTCACACATGCTAACCACTTAGCCACATCTCCAGCCCTTTTACCAACATTCTTAACAATTTACTTTTCTTTTCTACATCTTTCCATTCTCAAAAAAAAGAAAAATTCAAAAAACTAGTATCATAAGATATCTAAAAATCCCATAAATCATAAAGCCTTCGTATTCAATTCAAAACAAAAATGACCTTGAAGATCTCCTACAGCTCTTATATTCTGGGGCAGGCACGAGCCAGTCAGCCCTCAGCCAGTCAGCCCTGATATCAACCTTGGCTCTGTGACCACTAATACAGGTTGAACATCCCTAACCCAAAATCTGAAACAAGAGTACTGACATGACACTCTGGAAGCATTTTGGATTTCAGATTTTTGTATTAGAGATGCTTAACCAGTGAAGTTTATGCAAATGTTCCAAAATCTGAAAAAAATCTGAAGTCAAACACTTCTAATCCCAAGTATTTTGGATAAGGATTACACAGTCTATACTTATCCTTAAAGAAGCTAAACAATCTCTCTGAACTTTACTTCTCTCATGTGTAAAGTGGGAACAAAGATGATGCCTACCTCATAGGGTGGTTGCATAGATTAAAAGAAATCACATTTGTAAAACACTTCTCATGTGGTAGACTTGCAATCAATAGTAGCTACCATTACTCCAAAAGTCAAATACAAAAACAGTATAGGAGATATTTAGAGTGCTGTCCAGACTACCAAAAAAAAAAAATACTATACATGATAATGCTAACTATTCAGAAATCATGCTTCAATTATCACAAAAACATATTGGAACTAACTTTTTTAAAAAATTTAACTGGTTTTCACTTTTTGATTGCCAGTTGAAATAGTTCAGTACCAGAGAATCTGGCTGAAAGGATGCATTTTTCACCTGCCACGTTTATCTCTATTTTAGTCTACTTTAGCTTTAAGGAGAATGGGAGACAGAGAGCCTTTTGTGAGATCTGCTTTCAGATTGTAGATTACAATGAGAGTAAAATCCCATTTCTTACCAGGAACTTGTGGGTAAATTTGTTCAGTCAGGTAGTCTCTCAAATTCCTTGGCATTTCTCCACGAATGTCAACAAGTACTCTAGTTTCACTGGATGAAATCTGGTAGATGAGAACTGGACTTGGGTTAATTAAAAGAAGTTCAGCATGATTGGCTTTAAACTGTGGTGCATTCTAAAAAAAATAAAATAAAATAAAATATTAAATAATTTTCAAATTTCAAAATGCTTTTATTTTTCTATAATTATACTTTTACAATACCTTCATAAGGAAGCCAACAAAATGAGATGAAACAGAAACTTTAGTGGAGACAAGATTTTTCCTGAACTTGGAGAAAAGCCCATCTGCGACGACAGTCAATGGAGCATGGAGTTCCTACAATACAGAAAGAAAAGAGTCAGCTAAATGGTTAGAAATACACAGTACAGGTAGAAGAATGTGAATGAACAGATTTAAATATATTATCAGACAACACTATGGAGGGCAATTGAACTATTATGTGAATGTAAGACACTGCTTGACCCATCTTTAGAGACACTCCTGAGTTCTTGAAGATAAACTCCTTTTGCAGCTCTATCACTGAAACCAGGAGGAATTACCCCCCAATCTGATGAACAAGAGAGGAAACAGCTACAAGGCTAAATCTCGTAGAAAGAAGACTAAATCTCATACAAAGTTCAAGGCCTAGTCAGATTCATTCTAGAATTTTTCAAACTTCACACAGTGCTTTTAATCAGTGGCTAGGGCTTAGAAGAATTTTTATAAATGGCTATATATGTATTAATATTACCACACTACAAGAAAAGAAATACTTGCAAACTCTTTATTAGAATACAGTTTCTAGGTGGGGATTGTGACCTGATCGAGCAGCCCAGATGGGCCCTTTGGCTCTCCCTCTTTACTACACCAACATAAGCATAACTATTCTGGTTTGTTTTTCCCCCAAAAGAGCCTCCTATTTCTGCCTATAACGATGTACATATAGTAATACTACTATGCTATACACTTAAAAAGTGCTAAGAGGGTAAATTTGTGTTATGTGTAGTATACCACCATGAAATTTTTCAAATAAAGGCAGCTAAATCATTTTTTTTAAAAAAAGATTCTCTTTTGTATTTCTGCTTAAACAATTGCTCGTTTTATCTGAATCAACTGTTTTATGATGACTCCTTCTTGCTAGTTCCTCTTTGCTTCTCTGCTGATGCATATTTCTTATTTCAGTTTTTCATACTGTTGGTATACTGGTTATGTTTTAACATTCTGCGGTGCTCTAAAGGCAATGCTGCAATCTGCAACCCATCCTGCTGCACAGGGCTTACAGAGAACTCAATGAATATAAGCAGGTGAGTACACTGTTTTTAAAAGGGAAGGATAAAAAGGGAAAACCTCTTTAGGAAGAGAGGACCCTGGATAACCTCACCTTTATGTCTCCAGTCTCTTTGTCCTTGTACTGAACTCCTGTCACAGCATCATCTTCCTCTAACAACTGCAGCACTGTGCCTTCAATAAACTTGGCACTGAAGGATAAACAAACGGAAAGAAATTTCTATGGCAGCATACTTGAGCAATTTAAATTAGATATGATAAAGTCCTTATGCCTTAACTCCAGTTTACTCATATAAACTGGACACATGTGCACTCACGTGTGCACATAAGGTCTAGAAGAATAAAAGCAAAACCATTAGCAAGTTTTAAAATTATGTGTTTTTATTTCATAATCTTCCAACAAAGAATACATATTAGTGATAAAATCATATTAAAAGTATTTTTAAATATTTATATTTTAGTGTTATGTGGACACGATATCTTTATTTTATTTCTCTGTGGTGCTGAGGATTGAACCCAGTGCCTCATGCAAGCTAGGCGAGCACTCTACCACTGAGCCACAACCCCAGCCCCTAAAAATATTTTTAAAAGGAACACTAGATCTTTATCTTAATTCACTAAAAAGCAAAATGTATGCAGATATGTGTAAATACTTACACATATTTATTAATAGAAAGGGAAAAATTGCAATTTATTCAACAAATTATTAGGAACAAGTATTTTTAATCATAAAAATCATAATCTCGACATTTTACCATTTTTATACAATGAATATATTCTACCTCCATGGATATCAAAGATCAAAGTCTTTTTAGAACCTACAGATAAGTCCACTTACTTAAACTTACTTAAGTTACTTAAGTGTCAACACACTTAAGTCTGTGGCAATCATGAGTGTCCTCATGTTCAAAACTTCCTTAGCTACAGCATTTAAAGGTTACGGGCAAATATTAAGTTAATAATCAAGAGAAGCAGCCAGTCCTGTCATACTACGTTCTCAGTGAGATGGGAACAGGAATCTGTCCTTGTAATCCTCAGCACTGACTTATGGGTACACATGAATTTATGCTATAGTTATTATAACAAGTATATCCTCTAAATTCAATAGAATCAAAATCGCACAATTTTTATTTAGTCAAAGGAAAATTCTCTATAATTCTAAGTCATTGAAATGAAAATTCTCTATATGATCTCCTTAACAAAGGCACTGAATATAAACTCTTCTGATGTTTTTATTTTATACCTATGTTCTAGAATATGCCTAAAATTTCCATGAAAGTTTATAAAAATCTTATTTGTACAAAGGCCAAATTTAACCCTTTAACATTACACAGCTGAAGCTTCATCTTACTTGGGCTCTGCCATGGCTGCTTTCCGGAGACCCATGATGAATCTTCCATGATGGAAAGCTCTTCCGCTCTGCACTTGATTGTCTTCTGACAGAGGGTAAGGAATCTGAACCTCTGATTTGCTTTCCCGATCATGAATTATGTAGCCATTTATAGATTGGGCATCAAGACCTTCTACTGTATCTGCAAAACAATTCAGCTCAAAACTATCAGAAATTTTTTAATATGCCCAGAGTTATACTAGGTACCAAGAACAGAGACAGTGAAAATTAATCTCCACTACATAAAGCTACAAGATCATTTGGAGAACTAAGCAATTAATATAACTATTTAAAAAATGTTGATGTTTCTAGATGATAATAAAGTCTTAGCAAATTTGAGGTACTTTTTAAAGATAACACAATTATTTCAGATCTGTAATTCTACTTTGCCTCAGAAAGACAAGCAAGAAAATGCAACATGAAATGAAACCTGAGTTAAACTGTCTGCCTACAATGATAGGAACATATTCAGTTCTTAACACTATGTCAACATACAGATAAATGGATGTCACACACACAGAGAGACACACAGGGAAGAAAAAAATTTAAAAAATCAAAAAATTAAAAAAATAAAAGGGTATATAAATGAAAATATCACATATTTTAGTTATATTTATTACTATACATATATAAGAAAAAAGTTGATTTCCCAAGACAAATGGAAAGGTGTTGATGAGTTCAAAATATCTGTAAAAATTGATCTAGAATAAACTCAGGAGTAATTTTTGGTAAATCATATAATAGAAAAGCTAGCAGAAAAAAAAACCCACTGAATTCATTAGATTCATGTAAAGGGGGCTTTCTTAAGTTTAAATCAGTAAAAGCAATTGAAAAAGAAAAAAAAATTCAGTAGAAAAGATAACATTGTTAAAGTACCAATTGAAAATGATGAAGCAACACCTTGGGGAAAACATCAAACAAAAAGATAAATATTTATACATAAAATTTACTCATTAATATCACAGAAAAACATTAAACACCAATAATAATGTGCAAAAAAGGGTATTGGGTGATTCATGAAAAGCAATACAGGAACAGTCATCAGAAAAAAATGCTTAAGGGCTGGGGATGTGGCTCAAGTAGTAGCGTGCTTGCCTGGCATGCGCACGGCACTGGGTTCGATCCTCAGCACCACATACAAATAAAGATGTTGTGTCCGCCAAAAACTAAAAAAAAATGAATATTAAAAAATTCTCTCTCTCTCTAAAAAAAAGAAAGAAAGAAAAAATGCTTAAAACTTGATGTTTAAAAATTGAAGGAAACACCAAATCTAGCAAATTGCTGGTGAAGTTATGATAAACTAGATAAATCAATATTATACTAGTGAATACAATAAATAACTATTTAATTATCAACAAATATGAAGAAGTAACCACCTTTTGAGTAATAATCATAATCTTGGAAATATAACTAAGAAATTTATCCTAAAAATAATACATAATTTTTAAGTAATTTTTCAAGTTACATGCAAGAGTAAGTTCACTATTATATTATCTAAAGAATAACTGAAAATAATCTAAACGTTAATCTAAATTCAAAAAGTAAATGAGATACATTATAAAGTATTTATTGAGGAAATACTATGAATAAGCTTAAAATGATAATGATAAAGAAAGGTTAACAGTATTGGAAATACACTTAAGATTGAAAAAGTGAATTTTAGCACACACATTAGAAGTGATACAGGGGTTGGGGTTGTGGCTCAGCGGTGGAGCGCTTGCCTAGCACATGCGAGGCCCTGGGTTTGATCCTCAGCACCACATAAAAATAAATAAATAAATAAAATAAAGGTATGGTGTCCAGCTATAACTAAAAAATAAATATTTTTTTAAAAAAAGTGATACAAGCCAGGCACAGTGGTATACACCTGTGATCCCTGTGGCTCAGGAGGTGGAGGCAGGAGGATCTGAGTTTAAAGCTAGCCTCAGCAAAAGCGAGGTGCTAAACAACTCAGTGAGTCCGTCTCTAAATAAAATAGAAAATAGGGCTGGGGATGTGGCTCAGGGGCCGAGTGCCCCCGAGTTCAATCTCCAGTACCAAAAAAATAAAGTGATATAAAGTTATGTTTAAACATGCCATTGTCTGAATATCTGTGCCCCCTACCTCTACCCCCAAAATTCCTATGTTGAAACCCTAACCCCCACAAAGTGGTACTGGGATTCGGGGCCTTCATCAGTTGATTAGGTCATGCCAATAGTCCATTTTGCGCTGCTATAACAGAATACCTGAAACTGGGTAGCACATAAAGAACAGAAATTTATTCCTTCATATTTTGGATGTTGGGAAGTTCAAAATCAAGGGGCCTGCAGCTGGCATATAAGAATCCACTGAGGCACGACCATGGAGATGTCCTGTGAGGCTAGATCTCTAGACGACTCTGTGTTCAGTTATTAGTTTGGGAGAATTCCTCATGTCTGATGTTCAAATATAAAACTAACAAATTCTGTCTCTGAATGTTGTCCCATTCGCCTCAAGTAAGCCTCTCATGCAAGGAGGTGACCAGAGAACCTAAAAGGACAGAGGTGGAACCTCCCTTCTTCGTAACGTCCTTGCTCCCTTATTCCAGGTTCCAGGTCCTACAGGCTTTTGCTTTTCTTTCTCACTTGCTGCTCCTTCTCAGCCCCCCTTATGGCTCCCACTCACCTCACTAACTGCTATAATTAGAATGGCCCAGGGTCCAGTCCTGTACCTCTTCTTGGCAATATCTCCGTCTTGTAGCCTCATTTAAGTACTGCGGCTCCTCTCTCTCACACACCTGACATGATTCATCAGCAAGTCCTACCAGAACCTGCCGGCTTCCCAATCCTGTTCTCACTGATTCTGCAACAACCCCCACAGACATCCCTCCTCCTGACCTCACCACTTTACCATCTTTGCCACAATATTATCAGAATAATTTTAAATAATACTCTCAATCAAACTTTTAAAACATGAGATTTAGTAACTCTTCTTAAAATTCTCCAATGGCTTCCTTTCAGAGTACAAACCGAATCTTCAGACTGGGCAGCAAAGTCCTCTGGGCTCCAGCCCTCTCCTTTCCATCCACCCCTTCAAGGGCTGCCCTTCCCTTCCTTCATTCACAAGGCCCAGACAGTCAGACCAGGCTGGCTCTGCCCAGAAGGCAAGGCTTTCCCACTTGATAAGCTCTGCCTGGAATTCCCCCCTCCAGGTGTCACCAGGGCTCACTCCCTCCCCTCCCTGAGTTCTTTATTCAGTGTTATCTTCTCACTCTTTGAAACTGTACCCATCCCCTAAATCTGTCCCCCTTTTCTGATTTTCTGATTTTTCTCTAAAGCCTGTATGAGCTCTATAAATATATATATATATACATAATATATATATATATACATATATATATATACATAATATATTTATATATATATAATATATATATATATACATATACAAACACACACACACACACTCAAAATTTTATTTATTTACAATCTTTTATGACTCCCCCCCCCACTACCCACTAGTTCATATTCTCCATGAGGACTGGAATTTTTTGTCTGTTTACTCACTACTGTACCTCGGTATCTAGGACAGAACCTGCCATACAGAAAATGCTTATTAAATATATATTGAATGAATGTCACTCCTTTAGTCACCTCCTCCCTCTCTTGCATCAAGTTTCTCCCTCTCTGTTACTATCTGTTACCATACAGACATATTCCCATATCCAAATATCTCTTTTGTCCTCACAACCCAATCTCACTATTACTGTCCTTGTTATGCTATTAGAAAAGATCCTCCAAGCCAGGCATAGTGGTCCATGCCTGTAATCCCAGTGGCTCAGGAGGCTGAGGATCAGGAGTTCAAGGCCAGCCTCAACAATTTAGCAAGACCCTGAGATAAAACTTAAAAAAGGGCTGGGGATGTGGCTCGGTAGTTAAGCACTCCTGGGTTCAATCTCTGATAACAAAAAAAAAAAAAAAAACTCAAGAATAGTTTTCTAGGCTCAAATTTTTAAATCTCCAATCCAGTTTTCTTGTCAATGTCAAAAATTGCCACATCCACTGATCATTGTCTATACTTGCCTGACCCTTCACCAGCGACATGCCATGCCTGTCCTTTCATCTCCTAATACCCAGTCCCTCCTACTAGCAACATGCCCTTTTGTTGGATTAAATGACATCAAACAATTCTGGCTTTCTTCTACCATCCTGCCAGTTCCTTCTCAGTCTCTTTGCCTGCTTCCCTCTTCTACAGTCTTTAGATATCAGTTTCCCAGGACTTGGTTTATTCTGTCTTCTCTTTTCTGCAAACATTCTCTTAGGTGATCTCAATCATTGCCACAGGTTTCAAATACCACAACATGCTGACAATTCTGAAACTTAAGACTCTGGTCAGCACAAACTGCTCCTCTGCACTCTCAGATTCATATATGTAATCTGACTTCTGCTCTTGGATATTTTGATAGGTTCTACCCAAATTTCCCCCATACCTGTTCCTCTCCCAGTACCAACATCTGCAGGCTGCTTAAAACAAAACATAGGAATCACTTTTGATACCACCCTATTTCTCCTATCTCACACCAATCCCTTTGTATGACATGATACTTCTGTCCCTTAATTTTATCCCAAATCTGTCCATTTGTCTTTTTGTCCTCTGCCACCATGCTAATCCAGATCTTCATCATCTGTCATTTGATCTTAGCAACAAGTCTCCCTAGACTGCTAGCTTGAATCCATACCCCAACATCATAATTTATAGTCTATTTTCCATACTGTACTCAAATATTTTTTTTATAATAGCATTGTTCAAATGGTAGGATATGATCAAATAGTGAACTATGAAACAAGTTTTGAATTGTGAATTGTACAATCAGGTGAAATCATGAAGACCATTGGAAAAGAAAAATAAAACAGATTCCATGGCTACAGATGTAGCTCAGTGGTAAGGTAAGTGCTTAGCGTGAACAAGGCTCTGGCCTCCCTCCCCAAGCACCACAAAAAGGGGGAAATTTTTTAGTCAGATTGAAAGATATATAATATGCTGAGGCATGGTGTAAAATGTGTTACTGTGAGTAGCTGTTACAGGCTTGAAGCCACTCTTTTTTTTTTTTTTTTTAAGAGAGAGAATTTTTTAATATTTATTTTTTAGTTTTTCGGCGGACACAATATCTTTGTTTGTATGTGGTGCTGAGGATCAAACCCAGGCCGCACGCATGCCAGGCGAGCGCGCTACCGCTTGAGCCACATCCCCAGCCCTTGAAGCCACTCTTTTAAACAGAAAAGGAGATCATGCCCATTGCCTTTAAGGCCCTGTGTGATCTGGCAGCTGCCTACCTCCCCAGACTTAATTTCATGCCACTTTTTTGTAGTTATATCATCCACTACTTTCTGGTTATATAGTCTCCTTTTCAGTTCCTTAAACAAAAGAGCAAACACATATATAGTGCCTCTAAGACGCCAGGCACTGTTCTGAATGCTTTAAAGATGCATAGAGAGAAAGGATGGGAGAGGAGGGGAGGAGTAAGGAGGATAGGAAGGGCAGCAGAATAGAACTGACAATATGATTGATGTATGTACATTCCATGTATGTATTATATGTCAAAATTCATTCTGCTGTCATGTATGACTAAAAATAAAGAAATAAAAAATTAAAAAAAAAAAAAAACCTCAAGCCAAGGTGTTAAGGCTTATACAAACATGAAATTATACAAAAATGACTTATACAAAACTGACTTATACAAAAATAAAATCAATAAAAAATGAAATTAAAAAAAAGATGCATATAAATTAAGTTAATCCTCATAATTTAACATAAGAAACAGAAATTCTTTGTATGGCATTTTAAAAATAAGGTAATTAATACACAGAAGGTTCAGTTATTTTGTTTAAAGGTGCATTCTTAGGCAAGGTCACGCAGCTTCTGGGGGCTGGGGCTGTAGCTCAGTGGAAGAGCACTTGCCTGGCATGTGTGAGGCACTGGGTTCGATCCTCAGCACCACATAAAAAAATAAATAAAATATTAAAAAAAAAAAAAAAAAGAGCCAGAGCTGACGTGCAAACCCAGGTAATCTAGTTCCAGAATCAGTGCTTTTTATTAATACCCCATGCTTCCTACCACACACCAAGTAAGCTGTTTCTAGTCCACGGCCTGGGTGTATTTGTACTCTGCTTCTCAAGAACAGTTTGTCTGCCTTACTCACCAGAATATATCCTTGGTACCCAGTACGCACCTCACGCAAGGAAGACAGTAAATAAATGTTCCTAAATGAATACGACTGGTGCATAAAATGCATTGGCTGAATGATACTTAACTAAACAATTCTACCCAACTGCTCAGGAGGCTAAGGCAGAAGAAACAAGTTCAAGGACAGCCAGGGTAACTTAGCCAAACCCTGTCTCAAAATAAAATAAAAAGGGATAGGGATGTAGCTCAGTGGTAGAATGCCCACAGGTTCAAACCCCAGTAGAGGAAGAAAATAAAAAGAGATTCTAGGCAATAACACTATAGCAAGTACACACACTCCATAACACTCCACAAATGATAGTTTATTTTTCTTTCTTTTTTGGAGGGTATTGGGGGATTGAACCCAGGAGCGTTCTACCACTGAGTCCTTTTTATTTTGAGACAGATTCTCCCCTAAGTTGCTGAGGCTGACCTCAAATTTGCCATCCTCTTATCTCAGCCTCCTGAATAGCTGGGATCATAGATGTGCACCACCATACCTCTTCACCTTTTACTAAATTTCATGTCCTCATTCTGTGAGCTTTCCAGGTCCTTAATTTTTTATTTATTTTTTAGCTGTAGATGAACACAATACCTTTATTTACTTATCTTTCTGTGGTACTGAGGATCGAACCCACGGCCTCACACATGCTAAGCAAGTGCTCTCTACACTGAGTTATAACCCCAACCCCCAAATCCTCAATTTTGACCATTACAATTTTGTAGACATTATATCTCATTGAGTCTACTTCATATCTCTTCATACAATTGAATGATTATTTTTCCCTTTGCTTTAATTTTCATGCAAATTTGTTGTTAATTTTATTTGTTTATTTATTTATTTATTTTGGTGCCAGGAGTTGAACCCAGCAGCACTTAACCACTGAGCCATACCCACAATCCTTCTTATTTTTTATTTTGAAACAGAGTGTCATTAAGTTGCTTAGGGTTCACTAAATTGCTGAGGCGAGCCTTGAACTTGCAATCTTCCTGCCTCAGCCTCCCAAGTTGCTGGGATTACAAACATGTGCCACCACACCCAGAAAATACAGTTTCTTTTTTAAAAGAAAATAAAATGGAATACCCATTTACTATCCATAGAATAATATACAGTGAAGAGTGTTTACTTATACTACATGACTCTCTGAGAATCCATAAAACCTACCTCCAAGACCCAGGTCTCTCAGAACATGACAACCACCTGGCTGCAGAAACTCTCCAACTATTCTGTCAGGTTCTTTTAAATCTCTCTCAATTACAGTCACCTTTCTTCCATCTCTGGAAAGCACTGCGGCCAAAGCAGAGCCAAGTATACCAGATCCCACGATGATAACTTCTGGATCATTTAGAGAAGATGTTGACATAGAGGTAGCTGCTCCTACTGAAGTTGTTTCTGAAATATTATTTCCTTTTCTGTGCTGTTTAATAAAAAAGAAAATTATGTTTCCAAATTCGTTAGCTCTGTATCATACTACCACCATATAGATGCACTGGACTTCATAAAACCAAATGAACTGCTACTTTTTTAATTTTTTTGGGTAACAAGGATTGAACCCAGAGGTGCTTAACCACTGTGAGGATGGCCTTAGGCCTGAGCCTAAGCAACTCCATTTTAAAAACTCCAGTTTGAAACCTGCAGTCTCACCAGGCACAAGCACAGAGTTCTCTAATATGGCCTCAAACAAGTTACTTCCCCTCACCCTGCTAAACAGAGTGAGCCCCTGGCAGGCTGTCCTCTCCTGATAAGAGGGAAAGGAGAGAAGATCAGGGTGGAGACCACCAGATGTTTCTGACCCCAGGTAAATGATATCAAGGAGAAATCCACTGGTAGCTGATAAGGATTACAAGGGGGGTCAAAAAAGCCCCCAAATTTAGTATAAATAATAGATCTGATAAACAGGGATTCAGCCAGAAGAAAACACTCGGGCTGGAGAACCTGATAAGGACCTGACAGCCCATCACTTGTCACAGTTTCCTGATCCTCTGCATGATCCTCACAGCTCTCAAACTCTATCGCCTCCTCTGGACCTTGATGAGAGCCACAGCTTCTCCCTACAACCCTCTACTCATCTGCTTGTCCTCTCCAGGAAAAGCCTGCCTTGGTTCGGACCTGATCACCGTGGTCTGAGTGAGTGTGCATCTGCTGGACATAAAGCTTAGGCTTAAGACTTTTGAACTTAGCACGCAGAGGGAATGTCTGTCATTAGCCTATCATGATTAAGTGTGTTTGCAGTGCTTAGAATTAATCTAGAATTGTTTGCTGTGAATTGATTATGTCTATTGCAGTGCCAGCATTAAGGATTGTCATTTTCTTGATTAAGAACCTATAGTGTGAAATTGTATTGAGTAATTTGAGTGAATAAAGCATTGAAAGGGGCAGAAGCATGTGGACATTATTTATTTCTCCACTCCCCCTAGCGATAACCACTGAGCAAAATCCCCAGCTCTTTTTTATATTTTATTTAGAGACAGGGTCTCACTGAGTAGCTTAGGGCCTTGCTAAACTACTAAGGCTGGCTTTGAATATACGATTCTTCTACCTCAGCCTCCTGAGCCACTGGGATTACAGGAATGCTCCACGGTGCCTGGTGAACTGCTACATTCTTAAACCTAGACCATAAATAAAAGTCAACCATATTAAAATATTGATTAAATAAAAATGTTATCCCTATAAAATTGAATATATATTCCTTTTTCCAAGCTTGTTATTTAGAAAACGCTGTTATACAGATATATGTAGTTATATATACCAGGCTAAACATAATAAATGCCTAAAAAAGGATTCAAAGACATATTAGAGGACAAATTCTATCATTACTCAATTCTTTAAATATAGACTGAGCATCTACGAGATGTAAATCTCTTACAACTTCTACTTTAACTTCATGCTACCCACTATTCAATACCTTATAGATATTTCTTTTTTGGTACTAGGGATTAAAGCCATGGGCACTCAACCACTGAATCACATCCCCAGTCCTTTTTATTTTTTATTTTGAGACAAGGTTTTGAAAAGTTGAAGAGGACCTCACTAAGTTGCTAAGGCTGGCTTTGAACTAGCGATCCTCCTGTCTCGGCCACTCAACTCTCTAGGATCACAGTTCTGTGCCATCACACCCAGTCTTTTTAGATATTTCTAAAGACATTGATCCTCCTTCCAGATTTTCACTGGAAAAGCAATCTAAAATCAGTTTGATTCATACAACAAAAAGGCTATCAAGTCCTGGATACAGATCTATTAATTGAGGGTTAAAATCAATAAAATTATAAAAGAACAGAATAACTCTATTGCCCCTTGAGGTTGGTTTGACTTGTCAACAATTTTAGTCCTTAACACACAAGTACATATTTAGTTTGTTCCTTCCTTCTCCAACCACCCATCCTAACACTCTTTTTAAGTGCCTAGTCAAACAGTTGGTCCTCCGATTTAGGGATAAAGGCAAACATTAAACCTATCATTGATTGGACAGCAAAAACTTTTACTTTGATCATAGAAGATGAAAAATTCATGTTTTGAGAGATGTTTGCCCACTAAGAATTATAGTGTTCGTTTTCTAAAAAGAGTAATCCAACCTAATAATAAATATTTGTTCTTGGTAGGTGAATTCACAGATTTGAAAACATAGCAGATATAGAATTTGCAAGAAACCATCTTCCTTGCAGTTCTCTGACCTTAATGGTTAAGATGAGACTACATGCCATTCAAAGAGGTTTTAGTTAAAGAACTTGGGCCAAATAAAGGAAGGTGTCAAAGTCTAAATTCCTTTAGAATTTTAGATGTTCTGTGATTCTAACGTTCACCCAGCATTCTCTTACCTCTATAATGGACTGAGGCCTATCCATTCCATTTTTTTGTAGCCTCTAAGGAGAGAAGATAATAAAATCTCTTCTTCCCATCACTGTTTCTTAATGGCTATAACAACTGATTATCCTTAAATTACTGTTCTAGGAGCAAGACAAGTCCTCCCCTTTGTCATATTAACTAACCATTCTCATTACATTTTTCTTCCTAAAAGTTTTCCTCTCTTTACACGCACATGCACGCAAATGCACGCACATGCACATACATGCGTGCGCGCGCGCACACACACACACACACACACACACACATATACACACACACACCTGCCCTCTCTCCTGGAAGGAGTGCTCTGGAGGAAATCAAGACTTTCAACTTTCAGAGACTGATCAATAGTGGAAATACAAATAATTCAAACAAGAACTTAGAGCTCAACAGACCACAGTCTAGCTATTCCCTCCTTTCTAAGGAGGGAAGAGAAAGCTTGCGGCATTCATTCACAATACAGAATCCATATCAACTACTGGCAACCCAATTTTCCTGCTCCAAAATTTCTTAACACAGTATGATGACAGTAACAGCATTCCAGCCACCTGGACTAGTGCTCAGTGACCCAAGGGAAGTTACCTCAGACAGAAACACCAGAGTTTCCAAATTGAGAATTACAAATCCCCTCTCCCACCTTTACTCCTCCTCTAACCCACTCGCCCAGCAATTCAACAGCCCTTCTCCAAAGCCTCCTAACAGAGGTGTGCTACCTTTAGACTAATGTTAATAACTACTAGTTATTAGATGGCTATGGACCAGGCATTCTGCAAATATTAAATCATTTAATACCCTAACTACCAACAAGAGTGGTGCCATCCCCATCTATTAGAAAAGGTAACTGATTCTTATAGAAATTAAGCAATTTGCCAAAAGACTCACAGTAGGAAATGGTAGAAATAAAAATTCTAAGTCCCTCTCTTCTATAATGTGCAATGTGCATACAGCAAAATGATACAGATCCACAACTCTACATTACTTTGTATGTGACTCGCCCTAACCCTAAGAAGCCATGTCTCTCTGGGTCTCATGCTCTAAGCCTCTCACCTGCTATCCCTGCTTCCATTCTTGTACTCCTACAATCCATTCTCCATTTCACAACTAGACTGATCTTTTTAAAAAGTCAAAAATCAGGGCTGGTGATATAGCTCAGTTGGTGGAGTACTTGCCTTGCATGCACAACGCCCTGGGTTCAATCCCCAGCACCAAAAAAAAAAAAAAAAAAGTCAAAAATCAAGCATACTTACTCCCATGCTTAAAATCTCTAGTGCTCTCAGGGAAAGTCCACGCCAATGGCAAACAGTCCCTTCAAGACCTGGCCTCTATGACCTGTCCCCCTCATCTACCACTGGCCTCTTCCACTCCCTTCAGAGGAGTCATGACTTCACCTGTATTTTAAGACAGGCCCAATTTAGGAACATCACCTCACTGTGGACATGATTCTACCAATTCACTTGACTTAGGACAAGCTAATTCACGCAATGCCTCTATGGATTAGGGAACAAGGGCTCTTTGCCCAAGGTTTATTTAAAATGTTGTCACTTTCCCCAATCAGTTGTCACTTATTATAAGCAGTACATGTACCTACAACAAGTTTCTTTCTTTTCAGGTATAAATACAAACCTTACCCAAGGATTTAAACAAACCTAAAAAAGCAATTCAATCCTCCTTCAAAAGGAATTCTAACATTGATTAGGCATTTCCTAATTAAATCAATATCCAACCCCCATGTGAGGATCAGTCCATGGTAAATTAAACAAATGTTTTCAATCTTTTCTAGTATCAAAGATGTAGCCAAGGCACAGGGTTTTAGAACTTTCAACTAAATGAGAATTTATACTAGAGTATCTAAGATGCCACCTTTTGCCCTTTAAAGAAAACTTGAGTTACCCCAGTCGTAATTTTAAAATAAAACATTCATTTGCTCTCTTTGAAGTCAACCTACCCTCCTGGACTCTAGCTGCTCCTTCTTTTCTGATCCAGGGGGTGGCTTGGCCCAGAAGAAGCCAATAAGTGGCAAAGCTGAGAGAATATCTGAGAAGAGAGCGAACTGAGAGCCGCTCTGCTGGCGCCCCAGGACGCCCCCATTTCGGTGGCGAAAGCGGTAGGAGAGCACCAGGCCCAGCGACAGGAACACCAGCACGCACAAGAAGAGTTCCTTGTTGGCCAAAGTGATGAAGTCCCCGCATTTCTTATAAAAATAGGTGAAAGTGGCAATTCCGAGAAAAGTCCACATGATGCCAAAGGCTTCTTTGGTAGTACCGACCAAAGTTGAAATTTTCTCCCCGCAGTAGGGGTTTGGTAATTAGAGGCTCCCGACAAATCCTAGTACCAAAAGGAACAGGGGGCACCGGCCAAACTCAGGAACCGCGATCCCAGGATTACAAGTCAGAGATCAAAATTTAAAATCATACATAGTACAAAACAATCTTAAGAATAAATCGTACAGGACTTGGGAGGCAGTATTAAAAATTCGCCGGCTCCAACAGCTCCCGGCGAGACGCGCTCTCCTCCTTCGGGCAAACCATACTTTCCTTTTCCTGACGGGGTCTCCGGGGGGCGGCTGCAGGCGATGCTGTGTATTTTGACGTCTGGTTCGTCCTCCTGGAAAAATGTTGCTCTTCCCTCACCAGCAGCAGGTGCCCAGTGGGAGGGAGCTGGGGGCGGGGGAAGCTCGCCTCCGCGGAGAGCGCTCGCCCGCGGCAGCGAGAGGCGCGGGGGCTGCTGGCGAGCGCGGGAGGCTCCGTATTCCCTGGACGGCGACAATGCCCAACCACCCTCGGGGGGAAGTGCCCGGTCGGCCTTCCCAACAAAAGATGGCCTCGGATTCGGGCAGCGCGGCCCCGACGCTCCTCGGCAGGCTGATTCCCCAGTCCCGAGCCTGCCAACCCGCGACTCGGCTGTCTCTCGGGTGAACGGCGGTCTACAGGGAGCCTCGCTCAGAGGGCCGCGGCGGTTCCCGACGGCCTCCTCGCCAGCATCCCACGCGGGCGGCGGCCGCCCTCCCCAGCGCCGCGCTTCCGCAGTAACCAGAGTAACCGCCGAACGCCCTCAGCGCGCCTGGGCAGCCCGGGTAGCCCGGGTAGCCTGGGTAGGCTCTCCAGAGCGAGGGACCAGGAGGCGGAGTTCCAGGGTCGAGCCCGCCCCTCTCGCGTCGAGCCCGCCCCTCACGCCGCCGCTGACCAATGAGAGCGTGCACCGCGCGGTAGGCCGAGGTGGTGCTATGGCGCAGTTGGCCAATCGTAGACGGCGCAGTCCGCGCGGCACCGCCCGTAGAGGCGCTGGCGCGATGTTGCGTGATGTAGGGTGGGGAATCGGAGGTGGGACCGGGTGGTTAGCGGGCGACTGAGGTGGCGCGCTCGGGCTCGGCTGGGGACCGGACTTACGTCGGGGGCCGGGGGCCGTGGTCGGGGTCCTAGTCGGTTCCTCGCGGCGGTCCCGGCCCCTGGGACCCATTTGGAGCGGGCAGGAGCTCGTTCTAGGGAAAAGCCTGCCTCGCGTGGGCGTGAGCCGTGCACACCCGAATGATGAGCACTTACTACGTGCCAGCCCCGGGGGAGGGAGAGGCACAGCTTTTGTGTCCCAGTGGCTCGAGCGAGCGGGGGAGGAGCCGTGAGTGCGTGGAAAACGTGAGCCGGGGAGAATGAGTGGGCGGTCGCCTCTAGAGAGGACCGTCAGTAGCTAGGCTGAAGTGACCCAGTTGAGCCTCGCCCCTGTGCTGTCTGCAGAGCCAAGAGGTAAAGACGTGAAATAAGCCTAGGTGTGCCATAAGTGCTCCAAGAGAGGAGTGTGCCGGGCACCAGGAGGCCTGGGGGGAGGTTACCTGAGGTGGAAGTGGTAGAACCTTTGGGAGCTGGTCTCCCAGCTGGAGCCCAGTGGGAGGAAGTGGGTTATTGGATCTCCTGTCTCTCGTCCTTTTGCTTCCCAGCCTGCCACCATGAAGTGAACAAGTTTCCTCTGCCCTGGGCTTCTGCCTTGATGTACTTACTGCTTCTCCATAGATCCAAAAGAAACAGGGCCACGTGACTATATCTGAAACTGACCCTAAATAAACCTTTCCCCTTTTAAAGTTGTTTAACTCAGGTGTTTTGTCACAGATTGGAAAAGCTGACTTGAACACGAATGGCTTGAAGAGGTTGCAGCTTATAAATGATAAAACCCCAAGCTAAACTGGTATCCAAATCAATAAATGCCCTAACTTTACTGTTATAAAACCAAGAGTTTCTTTCCACAACGATGTTCTTGACTGTTATCAATGATTGAAACATCCCCCAAATTAAAAAGGACTTGAGAATCAGTTCAAGGTGTAGGAAATCATTTTCCTGATAATTCTTCAATAAACTGCTTATTTGCATCTGTGAGTTCCCATGTTGCTAAAATGATAAGTCTGAAGTACCGAACTCCATAGATGAGAAGACACCAGGAAGATTGCTTCCTCCTTATCTTGTATTTGAGATTATCATGATTTTTTTTTTTAATTAAGGGGGTGATTTTTCACAATCTCCTGAAGGCAACATCCTTAAAGAGTTTGTATCTCTACAAAATTATCAATTCATTGTCAGCTCATCAAGCTTTTGGACAGCTCAAGATCCACTTCTGAATTTGGAGCAAATAACATTTGCCCTACCTAGAATAGAGCATACTCTGAATGTCTTTATTTTCTGAACTGAAATATTTAAATATTGCTTAAATATTTTTGAATCTTGGCATGGCTCATTTACTCAAAACCAGAAATCTGTCACTTAGGCCTGAAGTGAAAATGAAATAAGACATAAAATCAGTCACTTATTGGCAAAGATAATAATGCTATAGAGTAGGTTCATTAGAAATACTTCTGTAATCATGATAAAAGCTAATGTTTATCTACAGACAATATTCTACCTAATTTTCATATTCTAGCTCATGTTCTCCTGGCAACACTATCAGGTATGTAATATTTTTCAGCTCCATTTTGCAGACAAGGAAAGTGATGGACCCACCAGTGGGTAACTGGTAGGGAGGAAGAGTCTGAAGCCAAACCCAGGAAACCTAGCTGAGGAACTCAAGGATGTGTGACTTTTCTTAATCCCCACACAAAGACCTAGTTATCTTAAACAAAAGCACACATGGTTCAGCACTAGCATGTGCAAGGCCCTGGGTTCAATCCTCAGCACCACATATAAATAAATAAATAGATAGATAGATAGATAGATAAATGTATTGTGTTCCACTACAACTAAAAAAACACACACACACACACATCTGATATTTTTATTCCCTTGCTTAGACATCTCTGTTGTCCTATTTTGGCACACCAGGCCCCAATTTGTGCCTTCTTAAGTGTCATTCTCAATGCTGGGAAGTAAAGACTTGCCCCTTTCTTCAACTATCCATTTTTTAAGACTTAGATTAATCATCATCTTTTCTTCAAGTTTTCATAACTCTACTCTTTGTTGAAAGCAGTAACCAAACTGTATCATAATTTTCTATTTACATATAGCTTTTTCAAAGGATTTAACTTAAGGAAAACCATGTCTTATTCACAACTATATATCAGTATTTGTTACATGGTAAGCATTTTTCAATGTTAAATACAATCTTCCCTTTTTTTTTAAAGATATATATAGAGAGAATTTTTTAATATTTATTTTTTAGTTTTCGGCGGACACAACATCTTTGTTTGTATGTGGTGCTGAGGATCGAACCCAGGCCGCACACATGCCAGGCGAGCACACTACCGCTTGAGCCACATCCCCAGCCCAGTCTTCCCTTTTTTAGTAGTAAAAAAATCCATTTCTTTTTTTACGGGTTTTACTTTTAATACATTATACATTAGATCAAAGTTCTCAAAACTTTACCATTCACCACATCCAACAATTTTTAACTCGTCATTTAAAAAATTCAAAATGCTTCAGCAGTTATAATCTTTTGCAAATTCTAAGTACAAGTGATAGAGCCAGTTATATTAATTTGAACTTTGTTTTCATTTTGTTTCCTTCAGAATTGCTCAACAAGACCTAATTAGAGTGTCCATCAGTCCAACTCTATGTAATAAATATGCATCCAGTATCTGCTTTGTGTCAGGCACTGTGCTCCGATGGTACTGGGAATAAAGCAAAGCACAATGCTGATACAGTACCTGTCACTTTGGAGTTTCAAGTTAAATGTGAAAACAGTAGACAGCCAGTAATTAAAAATGTCATGTGTCAAAAAAAAAAAGGAAAGAACAAAAGGGAAAAATCAAAAGCAGATATTGCTCTAGAGGGAGGCTGTCAACTAAACCAAGGATCAAGGAGGATCTATCAGAGGGAATTACTTTGAAGGCAATGTTTAATAGTAGGAGTAACCAGTATAATCTCTGTCAAAGTCAGTGATCACACCTGTTTTCTTTTCCTCTTTCCCACAGTATGTTTTTTTTCCCCTTAGTACAACACTTAGGCAAGCAGTCGACAACACAGGTTTTTCCCCTATTGATGGCAGTGTAATTGGGAAGAGGGTTCTACTCTTCTGAGCAGTCTAATTTTGTATCTTTCTATGAGTCCCCATTTTTTTCCCTCTACATGAATTTTTAAAACTAAAAGATACTCATCATCTGCCAAACCTGAATTAAACTCACTGTCCTAGCTTTGGGATGCACTTGATCTTCTACATCAGGTGGCAATGTATATTGAACTAACCGGTCCCTTCTTCATCCATTCCTCCTCCTGACACTGCAAGGCTTTGAGTATTGTCTCATTTCCCTAGTTTTTAAAGCCATGACATCAGTTGTGATTTTGTCTAGTGCAGAACAAGGAAAAGCGTGAGTAGTTCTTAAAATGACCAACCCAAGGTAAGTCTCAGCCAATGGGATGGGGTGGGGGGACCACCAGAAAAAGATTATTTAAAAACTGCCTTAAAAATTTTTATCATATTAATATATTGGCCTTGAATTATAATAATGTCATTTATTAACATACTAATTTTTTTCCTCCTCCCCCAGGAAAAGGGGTTTCATAAAATTATTTTACTGGGGTAGTTTAAATGGATAAACATTTCTGGAAAGCAATTAAGCAAGCTGCCTTTAAAACCATTTATATCCTTTGATTCAGTAATCACAATTCTAGGAATTCATCCAAAAGAAATAATCAGACGTACCGTTTGAAAAAGCAAAAATGCAGCAATGCATGCCTGTAATCTCAACTGCTTGAGAGGCTGAGGCAGGAGGATCATGAGTTCAAAGCCAGCCTCAAGCAACTAAGCAAGGCCCTCAGCCACTCAGTGAGACCCTGACTCTAAATATTAAAGAAAAAAAGAGGTTTGGGGATGTATCTCAGTGGGTTCGATCCCCAGTACCAAAAAAAAAAAAAAAGAAAGAAAGAAAACCATAACACCAAAACAGATGAAACACCAAACAAAAAGTCCTTGTTCACAGTGTTATTTTTAATATCAAACAAGGAGAAATAATATAAACATCTAATAATAAGACAATTAAATTGTATGACACATCAGTTTAGTATAATATGGTGAAGCCATTAAAACTCATAATTTTTAAACAAGTTCAATGACAAATGATCTAATATTTAGAAAAAATCAAGA